CAACACGAATAACAACTTATATTACATCGTCAGAAGGATGATAAATATTGAGAACATGTATTAATTGAGTGAAAAAAGCTATAAATTCAAAATTAGACAAAATATATTTGCTGAAAAATCCTGATCCGGTATTCAACTTTTTTCTTTAATTTTCGTTCTATGAAAACGTTCTATTAAACCTATTCTTTTTCTTTTTGCATAGTACAAAAAAAAAGCAAGGTGAAAAAGTGACAAAGATTGAAAAAAGTCAGATAGATAGATGGGCGAATAAGAAAGTTAGGTTGAATATAGTAAGCAAAAAAAATTTTTTATACTATGTAGTCAACTTTCTTTATTACTATCTGTTGGAATGTCTTCTCCCAAATTAGAATATAGCACCATTTGTGTTGTCTGCTCCAAAAACATTTTGTGGTACTGTGGTATCTATTCTTGAATTGTTGAGATTTTTGGTACTTCATCCTGTTCTAATTCACTATTATCTGCAAATTCTTTCAATCTATCATGTATATCTTTAGCCGTCATTCGATCTTTCGCATGAACATTACCCATTAAATATATTTGCCTAAGCATCCTTCTAATAGTATCTGTCATTCGTTTGTCCCTCCTCAGTTACCATATGCTGTATTTTTATGCAACATCTATCCTCTCTTCCAAAGAAAATTAACTGGTTCCATAACAATGTAAATAAAAATAATTATAGTATATTGTTTTTAAAATATAGAAAAAAAAATTTTTTTATATACTTTGTTTTATATTTATTCAATTTTTTTACTACTTATTAAAAGGGTGATAAATATGCATTATCGATTGTTGTACTTACCTTCTTCTATATCATCTATTGCAGAATCTACAAATTTATTTTTATAAGCAAAATTATGTAATTTTAAATAATTATGTTATAATAAAATATTACTATTACCTATTATTTCAACATCATCTATCTTCATTATGTTTTGGGTTTGGTTTCCTGTATACAAAATTTTGCATAAATATTATTGATACAAGCCTTATATAATATTTTTTTAGCTTGGGGCTTTGATAGAGCTATTTTCTATTTTGATTGAAGCTTTGTATATGTTGATAATTTTGGTTCTAAACAAGAAATTTCTTCATTGCACAAATTAGTAATCATAGCAGAGAAAAAGTGAACTAAAGATCCAAAATATAGCAATAAACATGCTATGATATACCCTGCTAATGGGTCTGCAGTTGGCTATTGCCAAAAATTATACTTAGATATTTCAGCAATAGTTTCTACATATAGTTTTTTTTTTTTTTTTTTTAGCTAAATTTTGATTCTCATTTGTTTGATTTCAATTTGGTTTGATATTTGCTAAATATATTCCTGCTAGATTTTTTGTAGCAGTTACAATATCAAATCCTTCTACTAAATCATATCCAACATGAACATATCATTTGATGGCATGTGCTATCTGGATAAAAATGTATGATTTCAATTATAAATTATTTTTATAAATGAACAAATAAAAACTTACTACAGCATGATGTGAATCAATTGTTGTTTTGGCTTCTCCAGGTTCTAGAAATAGCTATTCATGAACTTCAATATTGTACTAATCAGACCAATAAGCCACTATCATTATTAGCTCACTGTTATGATAATGTGGCCTATTCTCTGAAATTATTTTTATCTACTTTGGTTTATTCTCAAGATTATTAAACATAGCTTCAAAACAGATGCTGTAAACTAGACATCTTGTTTTGTATTTGTAGACTAATGGTCATAGGCACTAATATTCAAAAAATCTACACTATCATCTTTGGTTATTACCGTAGAGCACTGTATAAAGTACCCCAAAAAATAGTACTCCCTTGATTAAGATCTGGATATTATTCACCATACATAAAGACTTAACTATGGTTAGTACTCAGGTACTTTTCAAAGTTGAAACTTATGAAACTTGATTAGTACCTGGGTATTTTTCAAAGTTGGAACTTTATGGACATTGATTAGTACCTGGTATAGTTTAATAAAAAAAGTTCATTATACTGTATATTTCTTTTCTTATAGCTTACAACACCTCTCATATCTAATATAAAACTCTCACTTTTAGGTTCTAATTTTATTTACTGTATTTATTTATTTTTTATTTTATTTTTTTAATACCCCTCACGTACAATACCCCCACATACAATACCCTTCCACATAGTGTATCCCCTAAAATAGTACCCAGTTCCTAACACAGTACCTCTGGATACTAATCAATTTAAAAAATGATGTTCTTGAATAAGACCCTGAGTACTTTATGCAGTGCTCTACGGTACTAGGATTGTATGTAGTATCTAACCTCCTTTACCAAAAAATTCTTGTTTTGTTTCTCATGCCATTTTTGAAAAAATTCTTATTTTATAATCTGCAATCATAATTGCACCTTCTGAATTAAGACTTACCAATGACGCTTTATACTGTTCGTTTAGATAATATTTTTGAGCAATATATGCAAGAAAATATTTTAATTTTTCTTGCATTTTTAGTAACTGAGAATGATATTTGTTATTACTATTTTTTTTTATAAAATCAAAAAAGGTAAAAATTTCTAAACATTCTTGACAATATGAATAGTATGGGCTTAAACATTCTCCAAATACAAATGGTAAACAATGATCTATGCAATTATCATATAGTGGTTCTCTATTAGATTCAACTTTTAAATAGCATTCAAAGTTTCTTTTAAAATAACAATATAAGTTTTTAACTTGTGATATTATGGAATCTTTTTATATAAATATGATAGTATGAAATTCAGTTATAGTATTCAGAACAAATAACTAGTTGATATATACTGTTATACAATATATAATAGCTAACTATTGTTCTGAATACATTATATTTATTATCTGATAGTCATACTTACAGAATAATTTGAATTATTTTGATGGTGATTGTATCATAATCAAATTTGATAATAACAAAAAGAACTTTAATTATTCTGTTGGTATAAACATAGTAAACCATCAGATAAACTATTATTGGATACTATTTACACAACCAAATAATAAATTATTTACAAATAATTCAGTCATTAGTTGCTTCGCATTCAATAACTATATATTATTATATGATTTATTACATGTATTAATATATACTTACTAAAACTTCCTTTGTTGTAAATATTTGTCATGCAAGAGCTAATAAATCTTTGAATACCTCAAATCTATATTTATTGCAAATAATACACAATCTACCCAAATCTTCTCGGTACTGAATATGGCTATAATCGGCCAAATAGGTCATAAAGAAAGTGTATCGTATTCTATTTGGGTATGTTTTATTAAATTTTGTCCACTAGGCTTCTTTTTGATCTTGCATATATAAAATAGGAATCTCAGTTTTGGTATCAGTTTGGTAAGAACTTTGTATCACATTATTTTTATCTTGAAAAAAAGCCAAAAATTGTATTTCTTTAGTTTCACTCATTTTTTGAATAGATTTTTTTGGATTTTTAATTTG